GGTAGAAACAGTAACGGATGGAGATGGGGTCACTACACATGTAACAAAGGAGACAAAGGGGAAAGAAGAGGAATATGTGCAGCAAAGGAGAGAATCGGTTGGAGATGATGGCGCATCGGCGGCCTCCGAGGAGGAGGTCTGCCGGGCCAAATGAAAATCATAGGGTGGAACTGTCGTGGTATGCTCTCCCCCACGGCAGTTCGCGAGCTCTTGGATCTACAAGGGCGGACCAAGGCAGGTTTAATTTTTCTTTCTGAGCCTCATTTGAATAAATGTAAAGCTGATGAGCTTCGTCGTGTTTTAGATTTTGATTCGATGTTTGTAGTGGAGAGTGATGGTCGGGCCGGTGGCCTTGTTATGTTTTACCACAAAATGAACAAAGTTGTTTTAAACTATGTGGCGGCTAATTTTATAGATGTTCTTTTTATGAATGACAATGTTGTACAATGGCGTTTTACTGGCTTTTATGGTCATCCGAATTGGAGGGATCATAATTTATCTTGGGATGATATCCGTAACTTGCACAATAAAGGTGATCACCCTTGGGTGGTTTTGCGCGATTTTAATGAAATTCTTCTTTCTTCGGAAAAGAGGGAAGCAATGCGAGACCTAATACAATGATGAGAGACTTTCGTAATTGTTTGGGAGAATGCGGGTTGGAAGATATGGGATGTATTGGGGACCCCTTCACTTGGAGGAGGGGTGACATTAGGGAGAGGCTTGACCGCGCGGTTTGTAATGTGAAATGGGCAAACAAGTTCCCTAGATCTGCAGTTATAAATAAAGAACATGTACATTCTGATCATCGCCCTCTCATTCTGGATACAGAATATTTTGATGGTAATGTTTTTAACCAATCAAGGAGCCGAATGAAACAATTTGAAGCCCAATGGCTCAAAGAAGAAACAGTTGTAGAAATTGTACGTACAACATGGGAAAAAGCAAAGATACGAGGTATTGGACCATCTCTCGCTGAGCGTACACGAGCGGTGAATGCGGATTTGCATATTTGGGACCGTGATATTCTGAGAGGACCGAAAAAAAGAATTAATAAATTAAAAAAAGAATTAGAAAAGTTGCGGAGGGGTCCTATCAACACGGAATCCCAAGCATGCCAAAAAGAGATTCTTGTCATTATTGAAAACCTAGTAGAGCAAGAGGAGATCTACTGGTTACAAAGGGGTCGTGCAAACTGGCTTTTACATGGTGATCGCAACACTTCCTTTTTCCATAATGCGGCGACGACTAGGAAAAAAAGAAATCAGATTAAAAAATTGCTGGATGACAATGGTGTTTGGCTACAAGATACGGAGATGAAAAACCATATTACGGGGTACTTCGCTAATCTCTTTACTTCACAAGTTGCTCAACCGAATCCGGAGGTTTTATCCCTCGTCAGAAGAAAAGTGACAGATGAAATGAATATTGCTCTCCTTGCCCCTTATATGGCTGAGGAGGTTCGAAAGGCGCTATTTGATATAGGAGACTTAAAAGCGCCGGGTCCGGATGGACTACATGCCATTTTTGATAAAATATTTTGGTCTATGTTGGGGGATGATCTGACTGAAGAGGTGCTCCAGGCGGTGAATACTGGCACTATACCTAATGGGTGGAATGATACAACAATTGTAATGATCCCAAAGATTGGTTCCCCAGAAAAGGTAACTCAGTTTAGACCAATCAGTTTGTGCAATGTGGTGTATAAGGTTATTTCAAAAATGATTGTGGCTCGTCTGAAGTTAATCCTTCCAGATGTTATCAGTACAACTCAGAGTGCATTTGTACCAGGAAGAATGATCACAGATAATATTTTAGTGGCCTACGAATGTTTTCACACAATAAAGAAAAAAGGAGTGGTAAAGAGGGTATATGTGCCATCAAACTGTATATGCATAAAGCGTATGACCGAGTAGAGTGGTCCTTTTTGAAGAAAATAATGCTAAAATTGGGTTTCAAAGAGAAGTGGGTAGATTTAGTTATGCAATGTGTATCTTCTGTGGAGTACCGGGTTCGTTTTAATAATGAAGAGACTGAGAGCTTTAAACCTACTAGAGGTCTGAGGCAGGGAGACCCCCTCTCCCCATACTTATTCTTGTTATGTACAGAGGGGCTGACCGCTCTACTAGCTAATGCAGAGGAGAATGGTAATATTTCTGGAGTTAAGGTCTGCCGAGATGCCCCATCAATTTCAAACATTTTATTTGCCGACGATTCTTTGATCCTTATGAAAGCAAATGCTATGAATGCGGAGGCATTAAAATCAGTATTGGACTCTTATTGCTCTACCTCAGGGCAATTGGTGAGTGTCGAAAAATCTAGTATTTTCTTTAGTCCCAATACAAAAGTAGAAGATAGAGCGCAAATCTGCACAACACTGAATATTATGACCGAAGCCCTCAATGATAAATATTTGGGTTTACCTGCAAATGTGGGCATGGACAAAAGTGATTGCTTCCTTTTCCTAATTGATCGCATTATTACAAAAATTAGTGGATGGAAGGAGAAGCTGTTATCCACCGGAGGAAAGGAAATTCTACTTAAAGCTGTTGTACAAGCTATCCCAGCTTATGCTATGTCCGTCTTTAAAATTCCTATTTTTTTTTGTAAAGGAATCATTGACGCGATGTCGCAATTTTGGTGGGGTGATGAGGACAATCAAAAAAGGATGCATTGGATGGCGTGGTGGAAAATGTGTGTCCCAAAAAACAAGGAGGAATGGGGTTCCGAGATTTACATTGTTTCAATTTGGCGTTACTAGCCAAGCAAGTGTGGCGTTTGCTTGATAATCCGGAATCGTTATGTGCCACAATCATGAGAGCTAAATATTTCCCGGATGGCGATTTAATGAATGCAAGTCTAAAGAAGGGTTCCTCTTTCACCTGGCAAAGCATTATGGCGGGGGTTAATTCTCTAAGGAACGGCTATATCTGGCGAGTTGGAAACGGACAAAAAATTGATATTTAGGAAGATGCATGGATCCCGAATTGTGCAAATAGAAAAATAATTACTCCTAGAAGGGGGCAACTTTTGTCAAAGGTTTCTGATCTTATTGATCCAATTACGAGTTATTGGGATGAAGACTTGGTGAGACAAACGTTGTGTCCAATTGACGCTCAAAGGGTACTTGCAATCCCCCTTCCGATACATGAAATGACGGATTTCATTGCTTGGAGTTTCACAAAAAATGGTTTGTTCACTGTTCGATCGGCTTATTGGGAGGAATGGAACAAACAGCATGGAAGAAAATTATAATATATGAATGGTATGGGTAGATCCAATGCTAATCATGTTTGGAGCAAGATCTGGAAGCTATCTTGTCCGGCAAAGGTAAAAATCTTCATCTGGCGTACATTGCATGGAACACTCCCATGTCGTGTTACGCTCGCCAATAGACATGTGAAGGTCCCTCCCATCTGCCCAACATGTTCAAAAGGGCTAGAAGACACGAAACACGTCTTGTTTCTGTGTCAGAAGGCGAAAAAGGTCTGGGATAATTTGGGTTTGTATGAGGTGATCAATAGAGCATGTGTTGTTGACCGGGCAGGAGAGGCAGTTCTTGAATTTTTATTACTTATGCCAGAGGAAGAAATATCTGTTTTGGGACTCCAGAATGCACGTAAATTGATCGTTATAACAGCTTGGTATTTATTGTGGGATAGACGTAAACTGGTTCATGAAGGAAAGTCTCAAGATGCATATCAATCTGCTATGGGGGCCGTGCTATAGCGGCAAATTATGTTAAAGCAAACTCCCCTAAGGCGATCAGTAAGAAAGGGGGATGGCTTAGACCTCCTATGGGTTTTGTGAAACTAAACGTTGATGCTTCTTTTGACCATGATCTGCTTAGAGGCATGGCGGGGGCAGTCCTGAGAGATGACAAAGGAAGGTTCATTGTTGGCGGAAGTTGGCGACTTGATTGGTGTGCGGATGTTCTAACGGCAGAAGCATTGGCACTGAGGTTTGGCCTTACCCTAGCACAGAAGGCGGGGTGCAACCGCCTTATTGTTAACTCTGATAATATGGAAGTGATTGACACGATGAAGAATGGAGGACAATCGGCGGGAGCGGCGACGGCAGTGTTCGATGATTGCTATTTCATGGCTTGCGATTTTACTATTACTAGATTTGAACATTGTAATAGGGAAGCAAATAAAGTTGCTTATGAAATTGCTAGGGTAGCAAAATATTCAGCGACTAGGGATTGGTTTGAGGAGCCCATGGTTGATATTGTAACTCTTCTTATTGATGATGTAACTGTTATTTCTAATCAATAAAGCTTAATGTTTTCAAAAAAAAAAACTTCTTCCGCAACAACGCTCTCTCACGACACCGTCATCAGGTTCGGCCGGTGATGACAGGACACACATTTCATCCCGTAGCCGAGACCAACCAACTAAGGTGAGCACATCAACAAGGAGACATTGTCTTCAACAAGATATGACACAAGTTTGTCATAATTGGACCCATCTAGCATAGATTAGAATAAGCTTTTCACCTCAAACACGAAGTGTGTTTCGAGCGCAATCTTGAGGTCGGATCTTCCGATAGTCGCGGTTGCCAGCGCTTCACGATACACCAGACGGAGTGACGCTAGCAGATGAGTGGGACGGATTCCCACCATAGACCATGACCATGACCATGATCATCAGGAGGCCCCCCACGCGCGGTGTAGGTTTGGCCGCTATAGTTAGTGAAATCATTGCTCATTGCATATTTGTCTTTTCTGCATGTATATAATGAATAGAGGAAATAGTATATGTGCACGGGAAGAAATCGTTTGGTTTTATCCAAAGAAAAATCAACCGTCGCTAGTTAGTGGAATCCGTTATTTATTTCCAAATAAATCATCTCAGAAAGCATATACACATACTCTCGAAATGAAAATAAGCTATCGGTAAAATCAGGAAATCATATATTGGAAATCAGGAAATCATATATTGGATCATAACAACGAATTAACAATCATAGTACCGACCGGGCACGAAACAAGGATGCATGCATCAGTCGTGGCGAAGATGGACCCTGTACTCGACGGTGGCGTCGCCGGTATTGGCGTCAAACCAGTTGGTCCGCAACTGGCAGTAGCCGCGCGCGAACCGGAAGACGCCGGTGCCGCCGACCACGGCCATCTCCCTGACGGCCCGGTTCACCGGGTTGGGGCCGACGATGGCGATGCTGCTCCCGTTGTAGGCGCCGTCGACGAAGACAAAGTTCATGGCCATGAGCAGCGACAGGCTGTCCTTGCCGGTGCTGACGTAGAGGCCCTGCGCGCGGCCGAGTAGCCTGGAGCCCGTCAGGCTGGGCCCCTCGGTGAGCGGGTCGTCGATGACGTACACGCTGCCGAATCCCGTGGCGGAGGCGTTGGAGGACGGCGCCGGCGCCACCTGCGCCACCTGCGCCACCGTGGCGTTCGGCCCGCCGCTGACCACGTCGTGCCAGTACACCCGCAGCCGGGTCTCCTTCTCCGCCGCCGACGCCGGTGCCGCGGCGGCTGCGAGGAGCAGGAGCGCGGCCAGGCAGGAGAGAGCAGTGCTGCTCGCCATTAGGATCAGCTAGGTAGCTAAGCCCGGAATGGATGTTGGTGGTTTGATGCGAGTGCCGAATTCTTCTTCCTAGGAGCTGGAGGTTTGTGCAGCTTGTATGTCCAATGGCGCAGAGGTGGATCTATTTAACGGCGAGTCGTGGTTGTTGGGTCCTTGACAATTTCTGGCAGTGTCGTCCCCAGTGTTTAGTTTAGTATTTCTGGCCGTGTCACATGTGTTAACTTTAGTGTATGTGTATCTTTCGCATTCGTCTTGTTTTTGTAGTATGCGTGAGAGGGAGAGAGAGAGAGTAGATCGTGGACTTCGTTGGTTATGAGATTTTTGAATAGCAAGAAGCTGCGCGGCAGGTGAAGGTATGACCGAATGAACACGCTATAGTTAGGTGATGCTGCTTGCACTTTCCATGCATCCCTACACACACACATTGGTCCTTCCAATTTGGAAAGCGGGGTTGCTCTAGAAGGTTGGCACGAGGA